TTAGCATGCATTTTTTCCCCACATTATTTACCACATATTGCAGCAAGTGCATTTGTTAGGAGCTCAGGTGATCTAACACTGCACTATAATGATAACAGCAATGTTGACAAACACCGTTGCTTACTTGCACTACCGTGTAGACATGTGATAGGTATACCTAGAGAAGGAAACAGAAAAAAGGTGTTGGGTATACCTGTGCTTATGAGGGGGAGAGAAAGAGACTAAGATGTACAACAATAAGTATTATGGAACACAAGAAATGAGTAATAGATACATTTATTGGGAAAGGGCATAATTATTGAAACCCTATAGTAACATTACAAGCATCTTTAATAAAATTATAATACCATATAGCAAATGATACACATGATCAATGACTGTTGCACTTCAAATGAGAAAAAATAAATTATGATACATGTAAGCAAAGTTTACAATTGCAATTACTAAAGCAAGGCACTGTGGGTCAGATGCAAGTAGTTACACTATTAATGATTTAATTTATCAGACTTTCACCAGTTTTTTATTTGCCACAACTTTTGCTACTCAATAAACACTGATAAGGCCTATATGTATTTCAATGCTTAAATTTCACCCTATACAGGTATATACATGAAGTAAAGCAATATTATAGACAAAACTAAATCAAATACATGTACAATGACACCATAATGTGATTATTCCACAATGACAACACAGTAGACCTGTATTGCAATTTTAAGGCCTTGTAGTTCGGTTGAGTACAACATTAAAATATGAATACAAGTACCTTACAAACAACAATACAAATACTGTTTGCAGCTTTGTATATTAGAAATACTGCATACATATTTCATTTACAATTACTTCTCAAGTATAACAGTTATCAACAAGGCTTATGAATCAATCGATCAAGTCTCTTTTCTTTATGTATGCATGTATAATCAATCAATAATAGTTAGTTACAAGATATAGTGCTTGAAAAGTTTTGTCACTAAAATGGCATCTTTGATTCACATCAATGCAATTTAAGAATTTCGCATACTTTTATGCTGTATTTCAGTTGCAATTGCATATATCTGTCGTAGCATGTGAAAATGTTCCAGTTGGTGGTTATGATGAAGAATGGGTTATTTTATCTTAAACCTTGTGGCAATCGTCCGACCTAATCCTGCAATCCTGCTGAGTTATAACATAGATATTATACATACACGGATTTGAAACACATCTTGAAGCCATATTGCTTAAAAATGTACATGTGTATTAGTGATGTCTTTTGTTTAATAGATGTCTTAAAATAGGAGATATTATGAAGCGAATTGGAAGAAGATAGGAGGTTGAATTATTTCCTCTACCCAATACACTAAATGTCATCCAAATGTAAGAATATTTTCTCACTTTATCCAGAAAGTATGAACTATGAATCACTTCATCCAATAACATACCTTAATGCTACATTATGCAATAGTCAGTCACAATAATGGCAAATATATACGGTATATGTATAATAATTACATAATAATGGAATATTTGATCGGGGGTATGTCACATTGTGATGTACTGTATATGTAATATTTACAGAAAGAAGTGCAGATCACTTGTTTCCACTACATGATCAAGAAATGCAGCCACAAAATTTATTAAATTATGACTTGTACATGTACCTGTAGGCAGCTAAATCATTTTCAGATGCTCTACAAACAAGTGAGTCTTTAATGTACAAAAACATGCATTTATGACAATGATTATGCAAATAATGCAAGATGGACAATTTTTCAAGAGTTGATCACACAAAGTTAAGAAAGTACAAAAAGTGAAAACAAATGATGTGATTTACTAAGGTAGGGATCTACAAGTACCGTGTGTCCATGAGCATTCCGTTTCAGATCAGATGGATGCGTTAAATGTATGTGGACACTAGGTGACGTTAAATATCTTCTATAAGGTGAAGGGGCACTGACAACTTAAGTATTATATATGTATCATAGTTTCCGTGATATTGATGATAATTCAGCAACAACAGCAAAACTGATTATTATATTGAAGTAAATACATTATGGGCATGAAACATAAGGTATAGTACATTATATACATACAACTATAGGGCATAAAATATAGAAAGGTGGTATATAATGGGAACATGAAAACTGGAAAGGTCCACTGGTACAATAATTGGACAATAATGGAAGAAGCTGTAAGAATTTTATGTTACACATGATACGATTTAAAATTAGATTGACTGTGATAGTACTGAGGATTTGATATCAAATTTGTGCAAGGTAAAGTACATGTACATGTTTCTTAAAATATTGTTATTACAAATTTATAATGCAGAAAATAAGGAGAATATACGAACCTCAAACAATCAAACAATAAAGGAATGGATTCTTAAGAGTACATGAAAATGTCTAACATTAAGTGTAATTTATAGTAAATCTAAGCTGTGAGTTGTCGTATGAAGCTAATGATGTGATAATCAAATACTGTCTAAAAACCAACAGATATTTTGTGCAAAACAATAAGAGTAAGTTACTTTAAATACATTGTATCTGCATAGGATTGATCCCTTATTGACTCAGCATTTAAAGAATTGGACAAGTTAATCGATAAACAAAGTTTGCTCCTATTGATATAATAATAATAATAAATCCACCAAAATAATTGATTTTCTAGCTAAAAGAATCTCAAGTGACACCTTAGTACCTATTTTCATCACCATCCAAAGGAAAATGATAAAGATTTGTTTAATTTAAGCAGTCATTGTAGCAATGAATGTTATGTAAATAATTTTCCGGCACTGGATAGATCGCAATGTGATGAGTATGTCTTACAAACTTGCAAATACATCTACATGTACATGTCCTATTATGTACTTTATTTCATTACACAGGATATGTTTATTTAGCAGAGAGTACAATTAATGAAGCTCACCTCTCTTTCTTACACTTTTATAGTTATACATTGACGATTTGCTGTATGATCATGCTTTTATTCAAGGATGTGCAAGCTGTATAAAAAAAGTAAGTAGTTATTGTAGTGAACCTATCGCTATTACACTTTGTAGTTCTTTATCATATACACAGATTAAATGGGAGTTATTACTGGGTGCAGAGAGAGCCTTTTTTACAATAAGAACAGATTAGTTTTATCATTATTGTGTGTATAGTAACTTACCATTATTGAGTAGTAGAACCCTGCATAGAATATGAAGAAAGGTATAGTTAGAGAGGGAGTATGTTATTATGTGTATAGTTGTATATGTAGTGAGTAGTACCCTGTATACAGTGGTACTTGTAGTCATTACACTATGTGGGAGAGACAGTACTTGTAGTGACTAGTGAGAGTATGTGTGAGACAGTACTGCTTTTGCTACTTCTACAGACTTGCAAATGAGAAACGAGTAAACAAACCAAAATGTATTACTTAGTTACATTATCCTGTAGAAAACACTAGAAATGGAGGAAATAGAATCTGAATGCATGAGACGTAGTTCGTGGAATTTTGCAGAAACCAGTTAAGAAGTAGAAAGATCACAGAAAATTAAAGCAGTTCTCAAATGGAACGTAACTAACAAATTTGCAGGTAATTTTTGTTAATGGAAAGTTTAATTAAAATGTTCTATTTCACTATAATAGATTCTCTTAGTGCTATATGATTATTACCATTGCTTTTGCCTGATGCTTGTGTTAGAGAAAGTTAGTTGATGTCATGTAAAATTTTTTGACTGTTTTACCATAGATTGGCTAGAGGCAAGGACAACCTCAGCCTGACATGTGTTAATCATTAGATTGTTGACTGTTGGACTACTGTTTGTTATCCATTGTACCTGTAGAATGGACACAAGGCAGTATCAGTAAGCCTTTTCTAATACATGTACATATAATACCATATGGCTGGTAATTTTTGGGGGTCCTATTATTTGTGAAATCAACTAAAAATCCAATTCGCGGATTTTAATTTTGTGAATTTTGCCACATGTACCATGCAGGTACCGTATTAAATTGATTTTCGTAAATCAATAAGGAATCCGCGAAATCCATGAACTTTGCAACCCACGAAAATTACCGGCTATACGGTAATGTCTGTCTTTAAATTATACTTTAAAGGAAATAAAAAGTTGTACAACTTGTGCTGCTATGCATTGAACTTCAAATATTTTTAAATGTTTGTGCATAACTTTTGACTTTTTAGGAACTTACTTGTTCTAGTAATAAGGTAATTTTATCTCCCTTTTTTCATTCCAGACTCAGTTGCAACGGTGTTGTTCTCGTTTGCCTGGTGTATGGCAGCGTAAGTGAAGCATGGATTTCAACAAATAAGCGAGTGGGAAACTTGCCATTATTGATTCTACCAGATAGCACTGCTATTTTTCCACTACTAAATGCAGTTTAAGTAGCTTATGAATAATTTAGTTTCACATGATGAGGCCTCTCCCATATGATTCCTGGTGCAGCCGCTTCGCATTTATTAACCTGTCAGTTGTCCGGAGATAGGTCGAGAATTTCCTGGAATTTGTCCATAGAAACAGTAGGCTGGGCAAATAGTAATAATGGTTATTAAAGCAAAATGTCTGCTGCAACCAACTCCTGATATACTCACACAGCTCACAGGCTCCTTCATCGTCTTTGCATTAGGCAGCTCAGTCATTGGTAAGTAGATATTACCCTTTAGTTGCATAATGTCTGTCATTGCATAATGATTCTGCTCAGTTTAATAAAATTGCCTGACATTGGGGTTCATAATTGGGTTACTGTATAAACTCTGCATTATACCATTGGCACTTTCATTTTATGGTAATCGAAATAGTAGTAATGTACGTGTAGATGATTGTTTAATAGTATTCATGAATTAATTACATTAATTTCTGAATCTTCAAATCCATTGTGGCATGAATTGCCATGCTTAATAGAGAGTGGGGTCTATCTACATGTAAAAATCTTAATGACTTTTTATCAGATCCCTGGCAAACATGTTATTGTTTTGATCCCAGTAGAGTAATTGTGATATTGCTTGGGTCTCATACAGTGTAACTGTATCTCAATTAGTATAGCTTTGCCTATAATCTTGTGCCTGTATGAAGTGAATTTTTAGCAGGGAAAAATATTTAGGCCTTGCCAATTAATGTTCATTGAGTAGCAAAAATTGAAAAATGTAAGTTTGTTTTTACAATGCTGTGATACACACATGTAGTGTGAGTTTTTGTATTGCATGACTATCAGCAGTGCATAGGAATGTTATTACAAATGTATTCCCATAATACCTTGTCTATGGTAGTAATTATAATTGCAAACAAGATGAAGTTTTTTGCTTGTACATGATTATCTCAGGCTTGATATACAATACACGTATATCTTGAGGTTCCACAGTTATCAATCATGTAGTCTAAACAGGGTCTCCCACAAAGTATGCTAAGCAAGCCAAACAGCATGAGTTTTGTGAGCCAACCACAGCGCAGTACATGACATTTGCAATAACATTAAAAATTTTTTTTTAAATTTCATTTTGAATGGAATCAGCTCAAAGTTTCTACGCAACATAAGTACATGTATGTGTATCAGAAAACATTGTAAAATTGATAAAATTCCCTCTTTGTCTTTTTGATGAAATTTGGTGAATGTTGTTGTACATGTATGCATGTAATAGAGAAATTTGGAAGTACTGGACTCAAATTTGCCTTTACTACAAAATGTTTCGCTCAATTTTTGAGCAAATTTAAAAAATCTAAATTTTATCTCAATTGGCTCAAACTTTCTATGCAACGTAAGTACATGTATATGCATCAGGAAGCATAATAAAAATTGAAGATTTCTCTTCTTGTCATTTTTGAATAAATTTGATCAGTGTCCCTGTATTAGTAATGCGGTAGCGTTACTATATACTATACTATACTATACTTTACTTATATACTATACTAAGTAGGATTCACCCCAAAACAAATTGGCTGCCATGACTTTTGCACATGCCGTTAAAGACAGGAATGGATCCAATTAATTGCGTGGGCATGTACCAAGCATGCGCAGTACTTGTCAGCATGCTGCCAGACATTCCACACGAGAAGTCAAAGAAAGAAACCACTCAGCTGCTGTTCTTCTTGTGGAGTGTGCCAGTGTGGTAAGTCTCTGTTACAGTTTCTTTGAGAATGTATTGTAATACCATATTTATTTATATGTTTATTTAGCTTGATTCATAGGAAGATTAAAAAGGCCAGTCACTGCACATAATGCCAAAGAAAGTTAGTCATGACTGTGTATTATACTGTTATACAGAATGCTGCATTAAGTAACAG